GGTTCAAATGAATCGCTGGCTGATGTATGAAGAAAAACCCAGGTTGTTGATTAGCTGGCTAGAGATTTCTGGCAACTTTGTTTCCAAAATATTCTGTAGCCTCTCATGCTAATGGGCATTTAGCTTAAAGTGTAAAAAGTTACCCTTCTCTTTATCACATTATTCACTACAATTTATTGCAATTATCAACTTAATGCAAGTGATAAGGTGGACCTCTTGCCATGAAGGCACCAGGATCATGTTTGACCTTGTGAGATATATTCTATGACAGACAGTGAAGGGGTGTTAAATGAAGAAAATTTCATTATTCTGGTCCATATAGTTAAAGATACTTACTAACCAGCTGCTGATTATATTCTTGATCTGTTAAGCTAGGAGTTTTCAATTTTTTTTTCTTAAGTTTTGGAACCTTGCCTTTGATTAAAATGACCAAAGTATAAACAAATATGCAGATAAATATAAAAGAGAACCCTCAAGAAGTTCCAAGGGAATATGGTTTGAAAACTGTCTTAAACTACCTTATTAATATGATAATTTGCAGTGAAAAAAATATTGGGAATTGAAGCATTGAGAAAATGATGATGGGGAAATGAATACACAGTAAATATATATAATTTAGTAATTTGGGCTTATTTTGGGGGACTTGTTTCTATGCTTAATGCTATGGATATTCCAGTTTTCAGAAGTGTGGGCCAAATACTGTATCTAGGAGCACTTCCCAAACTAGTAAGCACTATTTGGGACAATGCTTTTACATTCAGGTTAGACATATCTCCTCTTACATGTTTCTGTCTACTTTCCCCACCAAGATTTATGGAGGTCTGCAATAAGCAATAATGTTGATGACTATGATCAGCCTAAGGAAACATGTACTATTTTCTAAGTCATGGCACATGGGATTTCTGTCCATTTGGACCATCTGGGGCTCATAATTCTGAACAAGACTGATTGATATTCTTAGTTAAAACGCAGCTCAAACATCAGTTGTGTATCATTTAAAGTGGTCCACTGGCCTCTAAATCTTCAGGACCATTTGAGGTCTGGCTTGAATCTGATCAAGTTACTGCCAAAGAAAATGACTTTCTCATGAAAACTATTACCCATCTCATCCTCTTCCTATTCTCCACCAAAAGATTTGGCCCAAACCAGAGAGTATTCTAAAGACAATATATTTGATAGTCACTAAAGTCACTTTGACCAAATGTCTGCAATCTTACTTAATGTTCCAATAAAATTCCACCCTGGATTGGGGGAGGTGGCTATAAGGACCTGACAAAAACAGTAGAGATGCCTGAATAAAAAACACTGATTCTTTACTCAAAGTGATGGAAACAGTAGCTGCTTAATGGTATTGAGAAAGGCAAATATCAAGATAGTGCAAATGGAACATACATTCCAAAAGAAATGCTCAAACCCATGCAGTTGGGATGGTGTTCTCTTCTAATAGTAAATTTAGCCTCTTTCCTAGGAGCCAGTGGGGAGGGATTCCTTGTACTTGGCAAGTGACTGATGGAGTGGCTATTTTATAAGACAGAAGCTTATATGTAGTTTATTTCTAATTATAACACTTTTCTACTTAATACTTGAAGTCTTTAGAATTATCTTGAGTTGAAAACATCGACATATACTTTTAAACAAAAATGTGATGTTTTAGTATCGTACAACAGTTCAATTCTTTATATACCATTCTAGACTGGTTATAGAAATTTACTGAGAAAAAAAAAACGAGAATTATCACTGATAATTATTTTTACATTAAGCACAATGATAACAAACGCAGATAAATGGGATGAATTACATTGAAAGTACTCTTGTTAACAAGTGACCTTTTCCTTTTCTAGGCTTTGTTAAACTTTAGAATCCTGTTTATTATACTTGTGTTTTGCTTTTGAAAATTAACTAAGTTGAACACAGTAATATCATCTTGTTGACTATGAGTAAAATGATTTCTAAAGTTATATTTGAGCTTCAATAGTTATTAGCTCTATCTTTAGGAATATAGGTATGTGGTTATGGGGTGCATTGTACTTTGTTTCACTGTAATGTTCACAGAACACAGTGCATTATGATTTTAACTATATTCTAGAAACTCAAATTTATGTATAATCTTTTATAAAATTATATCCTATATAAGGTGAAATGATCACACTATAGCTTTATAGTATATATGTATATATATATGCTAGAAAAAACTGAAATAAGTGAGTTTGATTGACTAACACAAGTATTATAAACAGTTTTATTTTTCTTTACATGTACAATACATAAACATGGCTTATCTTCTGTGTTTCATGAAAGACTGTCACCTGTATGTGGACTGAATATATTGCACTCATTCATATAACATGAGCAGGTAACATTCCATTGGATCTAGCAGCAAGCATCTGTTTCACCATTAAATAATCTTCTTTGGAACACAGTGGCCCAAACAGGGGCTTGTACACATTCACCACTTTAAATCATTAGCCATTGTAAAATTTATTTGTAGGTGTGTTTGCTCATTTAGGTATGGTTTAGGCCAAGACTTTTGGGGATTGTGAGATAAAAATGAATATTAAGAACATCAAAAATTATTTCAAATCCTTGAATTCACTTATTCAAGTCAGGTTTATAGAATCTGGGATCTAAGATAAACAATTATTGTCTAATTTTTATAATCTGCTTTTATATGATTTATACAAGTTCAAGGAAATTTGATAAAACACATCAGCTGCCAGTAAATATACATATGTGAGTAGGTTGGCGTGCACATGTGCAGTTTACATTTCCTCTAATGAGGGAATATACACTCACTTTCCTTTTCTGTGTTTTTTTCTAAATAGCAATTCATCTTAAATAATACATCATTTTTAAAGTCTAAAATGCCAATACTTGCAAATACATTTGTTGTTAACATAGTATAGTGAATATAGGAAGAAGCAACATTACTGTACACTATTCAGGATTCAGCTTTTTTCTTAGGTAGAAAAATGCTTTGAACACTCTGGGGAAATAGGATTAATTCATAGAAGAATATTTCAGGGATTTTTTTTTCCTTTTTTTTTTTGCATTTTTCAAGGATATACATTCGTACTGATTTTTGCTTCCAAATATATTTTAAGGCTGTTTGGTAAATATATACCAGATATGAGGCTGAATTTACAGGGTTTCTTCTTATAGGGAATTCTTAAACTACTCAGGTTTAAAAAAGTAAAACTTTGAAGCTAAACATGCTTTAATATCAACTGTGCTCCCTGTGAACCCCATGCTTGTGGAATGTAGAATATGAGGAAAAGGAAAACTGCCTTCTTAAAGAATGCCCCAACTTTGTAACTACCTCACTGAATGCTCGGGCTGCAGAGTGAGCTGGGAACATTTTAAAGTGCGACTCAGGGTGGGAAAACAAAGTGCTGCAGGATAACTGAAAAGCTGTTCTGCCTATGGCTAAATACATGGTATTCCTTAAAGCAGGCAAACGGAAGACATGGTAGTTTGGTGGAAATATCTGTCTTAAATGGCAATCCTGCTTTTACCATGAGTAAAAGTGAAAACTCTGAAACCGAGATCAAATTGATAAATTTGATAAGTTTTTCTTTTGAAGATGTGTCTGAATAGCTAATCTAACTTTCCAGAAGTGGTGTTGAGATCATGACTACTGCATCGAAATTTAATGGTAAAAACGTAAAGCCTTCCAATTAAAAGAGTTCTTATTTTTCTCTGGTGCCAATCAGAGCCATAAATCTAGTTAGTTTTCTAAATTCCACAGCTGGAAATCACAATAACTTTTTTTTTTTCATATCCAGAAGCAATAAATATATTCTTGGCTTTAGCAATGCTGCATAGGACAAAAGAATTGTGGAAAAATACAAATGTAAACTACATTTCATCTTTACCATTAAAACTGAAATATACTTACCACTTACATTCATATTTCTTAAACTTTTTACATCACAACTTTCATTTTAAACAAGCAAACTTTTTTTGTGTGTTTTTTAAAATTTTTAAAGGGTACCCTGAAAAATCAACTGATAGAGCTGTTTGAGAACATATATATATACACACATACATACATACATATATATATGTATGTATATAATCACATGTATCATAAATTATTAACTTAAAAAATGTATGTAATTGTTTGTTATAAAGGAATAAAAAATACAATGATTATTTCATAGAATTAAGAACATTTTTTCTCCCTTTATACTCCTCTGCTATAGAAGAGCTAGCCTTTTTTAAGCCTCTAATTTCTTTTCACCCATCACTCCCTTGTATGAGAATTCATCTTATATTTTGAATGTGTTGATTCTGTGCTAGACATTTTTAATGAGTTCAGACTTATTATCTCCTGGGTTTTAGAGAACCATAAAGTAGGGAATTTTGGTGGCTGGAAAGATCACATTTCATCACTACAAACTTCACATAACAAACCTAATGTTTCTGTTAATGACAAAGAGAACTAGAATATTAGACATGTAGGCAAATGAATCAACTGGATTTAGGGAAAATTAACTGGAGTTTAAAGGGAGAAATAGTTTCGTTCCTTTCCTGCACTTCAAGTTGTAGCACCTTCCGGGTTATCTAATGCCTCTAGTGAATGGTGAGATGCACCCATTTATAGTTATTTGTTATTCTTATCTCTAATTTTCACACAATTTATAAAAATATAAATAACAAAATTTAAGTTGGGTTCCATCTCAAGAGGTGTTTCTTGTTGTCCTCTGAGAACAAGGTGGATAAGTTAGGTCTTACCAAGCCTATCCAACATAGCTGATTTTAAGTCAGACCATCAATTAAAATAAAAAAAAAAGAAAGAAAGAAAAGAGAAGTCATTCTTGCAATGAGTTCAGCAAACTCTGAGGAAATCAAAAGCATTCCACTGTGTTTATGGCACAAAGAACACAACAGCAAGGGTGTAGTCAGTGGAGAAAATGAGACAAAAATTACCAGGTAGGTGACAAACTGTACAAGCATCTTGTTAAAAAGGAAAAAAAGGTAAAAGTTGCAGCATTCTGTCTTTAAAGTCGGGTCTGGGCCTCAGGGATATAGATCTCAATGCTGTCAGCACGCTCGGTTGCAGAATTCTGTCGAAAGGACGCTGCTCTCTTAGCAGCCATGAGGCGTCTGCGAGCTTCTTGACGTTGTCTGTCGGGCAGGTCAAGGGATTTTTCTCTTGTAATAGGAAATTTCCCTTTTGGGGGCTTCTTTGGTATTGGAGGGGGGACCTTTCTTTCTTCCTGAAAAATATCAAAAGTCAAAATTGATAAATAGTGGTGATGGTTGCACACATTGTGAATACAATTAATGTTTCTCACACACAAGTCAAAATTGATGGATAGAAGGAAGAGATTAACAAATTATTTTTATTTGTTGTTAGATTAATTCTTAACCCTTATTCCTACATTTTTCAAAGTATCACTCATCTCTTAGCATTAAATACCCATGATGCCAATCTCTTGAGGTCATTAGGAAGATGCCATTTGACATTTCTATGATATGCTGTGGTTATTCCACAAACTCCAGAATGTCAGTTACATACATGAAAACCATATTATGTGAGTATACCAGGTAACCATTGGCCAAATTCTCTATTATAGTCCTAAAATCTCCTGACGTTAACAACATAGACGCAAATGCACCACAATGCACTGCTGTGGAGTTGGATCCGACTCACAACATGTATAATGATTTTTCACTTGCTTGGTAAAAAGATGATGCAAATAATTATTTTTGATTGCTAGCTAATGTTCTGAAATAAATCACACCAAAATATGTGTATGCCTTTTTTAGAAATATAAATTTTACAATTCTGCAACAAGTGCAATATACAATGCTTACAAGGTTCTGGTGAAAGGTCTGTGTCCAAACTGTGCTGTATTATTTAATGCCATTTTGAAATAAGTAAGTTGGATCTACTGACTGATTCTGTATCAGCATGGAATTACCACTGGAGCCCCTCCTTGTCAATGAGTTCCTTCCCATGAGAGGTTACAAAAGAGGCCAGAACCCCTTTCCTCTTCTAAATAGATATTTAAAACCAAACCAAACTCACTGCCATTGAGTCGACAGCGACTCAGAGTGATCCCTCCTTGGGTTTCTGAGGCAGTATCTTTACAGAAGTAGACTGCCCAGTTAGTTGTTGGGAAACAGTACCTCTCTGTTTTTCTCCCTTTACCCTCCACAAAAAATGCAAAGGGGGCCAGATTTGCTTGGACATTGTGGGGAAAAGAAGCAGTTGTGCAAGAAAAGGGTGAAAAAACGTGGTGACCTCTTATTCCCAAGACTGCTGTTTTAGGCAGAAAATAAATCAACATAAGGAAAACCAAAGAATCAACTACAGGTTGTCCTGGACTTACGACATATTTGAGTTACAACCAACTGCATTCACAACCATCTTTTTCTTTTTTTTCCTTTTTTGGGCTTTTATAACATGCACAAAACTGAAAAACCAGGATTCACCTATGTTGAAGCTTTAAGTTTAGATGTAATGTTTTCATTCCACAAAGACAATAAAGATCAGATTTATAAAGATATTGATAATAAAACGCAATAATAATGAAAACAAAACAAAAGAAGTATTTGACTTAATGTCAGAAAGGAATTACAACAGGGTCATCAGAAGGTAACCCCATTGAAAGTTGGAGACTACCTGTATATAGTTTAGGTAAAAGAGTTTCTATTAGCTGTCAATTACTGATGAATGAAAAGTGGATTACAGGCAGTCCCTGGATTACAAATGAGATCCATTCCTAACTGTGTCTTTAAGCTTCAAGTAGAATTTGTAGATGAGTTGGAACAGGTTCATATGGTTCTTACTTAGGTTTACTTTAGTGCAAGAAAGAGCTGAATGAAGCCTTTTCAATGACTTAAAGGCTGCACATATAGCAAATGAAGGTGTTTATAATGAAGAATTTGTTGTGGGTAGGGGTTGGTTCAATTATTTCAAAGGAGGGCAAATTTACATAACAAACACTAAAGGGCAGGGACTGCCTATATTATGTTTATTTAGATTAATTTTATAAATTCTATTTTATCATTCAATTATGATAACATTTTCATCGTAATCATCACTTCTTATTTCCTTCACTTAAAAAAATCCCACAAAAGATTACTCGGACTTTTTCATGTACCATTTATAGCTTATGTACAACATATGCATTCTGTGTTTGCCTCTCTCCTTCATCTATAGTAAAAGAAAGGGAATTTGTCAGTTATCTACTTAAGCATCTAGCCGGGAAATCCCCATAGACAGTCAATGTACCTTTAGGGAGAAGAGTAGGTGATGAGATGACCTAAATTTGGGTTTCATTCTAATTGTCCAAATATGCATCTTCAGGTATATTTTAAACATCACTTCCCATAATAGGTTAATTTTCCTTATCATTTTATTTTAATGTATTATGTTTGTCTAGAGAAATCAGATTAGGATAGAATTTCTCTAAAATGTGTTCAGAAGTCAATGTACTTCTTGCTAAATCAGACCTATACATTAGCTCTGGAAGAAGTTAAGTCAAGAGGTTAAAATAAACAAACATTTTCAGCATAATTTATTGGGGCAAGATTGCCAGACCTATAGGAAGTTTACTTATCAAACAGTACAATAAGGTTTCAAAATGTCTTATCTCTGACTCCAACCTCAAAACTACAGAAGTTATTTGAGTAGGAGCTTTTCATTTGTAATCAGACTTAAAATTTTCCTATGAAAAATCATTGAAATACAATAGAAAACAATGGTTTGTTGAAAATAATTCAGAGGATAAGTCCCTATAAGAATTGATACTACAGTTACAAATTTATTTTTTGCCTTCTGTCTTTCTGAATTGTCTATGTACAAGAAATACAGCAAGAGAGAAACTGCTATTTTTATTTACTATACATGCCAGATGATTTCAGTTCCACCCCAATTTATAGATACAATATTTGTACATAAACACATATACACAGAATAAAGTTTGATCCTGTATTGGTAACCAAAGGCAGGGAAATATAATTTCGTATTGGAAGCACACCATTTCTGCAATTAAATTAGGTACTAGGATGCCAGTGAATAGTAGTTTGTATAGAAAACATATTGTGCATGCATAATTACCTTTCTTTCAGGTGACTCTATAATCTTCCAGTCATTGAGCTTCAACTGGTGCAGTTCATCGAACTTCATGCTGACATCCTCAATGGAGAGCTGCAACATGTCCCAGTACCCTGCGAGATCCTGAGAAGTAGGCCTTGGCATGGCACTGGGATCCTAAAACACACATTCAGGATTTAGCAACATGAAAATCTCTCATGACAGAGTGTTTGGGAGAGGCTGTTCTTTCCCACGTATATGCCTTTCAGCAGTACTGGGAACAAATATGACTACTTCAAATATTGATGCAGATATTTTCCCCATGAAGATTCAATAAGCATTTACTGTAGTACAAGTATTTGCTGATAGTTTAAAAATATATAGTACATTTGTTAGCTGTTTCATTTGGAAAATATTTTTTTAGAACCTATGAGTGCTGGCAAATATTAGAGTTTTTAAATACTTGACAGTAAAAGTAAGACAGTCTCTATCTTCTTGGTTATCTTTTGGATTATTCAGAAGATAGGTTCCTGGGGCAGGAATTTCCATGGGTTTGTAATGGTCTTAAAATAACCAAAGCTATTGTCATCCAAGACAGTAAGGTCCCTATGAGTCTGAGATGACTCAACGGCACATAACAACAACAACAATTGTCGTTGAATTGATTCTGATTCATGGTGACCCCATGTATTACAGAGTAGAACTGTGCTTTGTGGAGTTTTCACTGATTATGCTCTTTTCAGATGCATATATCATAAAGCCTTTTTTCCTCCTTGCCACTAGATGGGTTCAAACTACCAGCCTTTAGGTTAGTAACTCGAACTCATTGCCATCGAGTCGGATCCGACTCATAGAGAGCCCTCCTTGGGTTGCCGAGGCAGTATCACTACGGAAGTAGGATTGCCCAACCTTCCTTCCGAGGAGTGGCTGGTGGTAGCATTTGAGTTTGCAAATCCTAGATTAAGCATACAGACATTTGTGTGTGTGGTTCCCTTAATTCACTGGGACCCTATTTCAGATTGGTACCTCTTAACAATCAGAGAAATTTCTGGTGAGTAAGTACTTACCTGAATTTGCTTGAAACGTGCAATTTTTGTTTTAATAAATAATTCACATTAAGGATAACATGAACTTGTATGTGGTTTAGTTTAAAATTTCTTTAATCTGGTTCGCCATTCATATCAAAATTCACTTTTTTCTGAAGACTATGTATTACTTTTGAAAAAGAATTATGCACTTACTGCATGTCCAGCACTACGCATTGGTGCTGAATGACTGAAGAAGCAGAAGTAGCGTGATTGGGGTGGGAGGGAGTCATAAAGAACAAGACTATAGAGAGATTACAAGCTCATTCTGCCATATAAAACCGATGGCAACCTACATTAACAGTGGAAGTGAGAGGATAAAAATTGTTGCCTAACATAGTTCTAACTTCCGCAAAATTTCTTCTATTTTCTCATCCAAAGTGAATGCCTGAGAACTGCAATTACAGAAAGCTGTTCCCTGTGAAGTTTTTTCTCCTTTTGTGCCACAAGAGGGCAACCTCTTGCTGTTCAAACATTTACAAGGCACAGTGTCTCACAATACTGTAAATGTTTTCTTTAATGAGGTGCATGTTGAAAGTTGGAGCAGTTCTAACCCAGAGTGAAGACAGACAACTGGGCTTTGAGTGTTTTTCATGTAGTTGTAGCCAGTCTGAAATCAGCCTTTGATGGTGAACAAAAACAAAACAAAACATCTTGCAATTTAGGGCCGCGTTCTCCATTGATGACAGAACAAGAAGTATAATGAGTTTAAGCTGTCAAAGGAAAGGGTTATGTTGAGCATAGGAAGAATTTTCTCACATCAAAAGAAATATTGTTAAATACTAATTTGAGTTTCTAAGAGTGGTTTCAGGAGCTCTGGTGGTGTAGTGCCTAAGGCATTTGACGGCTAACCAGAAGTCTGGCAGTTTAAACCCACCAGCCACTCCTTGGAGGGAAGGTTGGGCAACCTACTTCCGTAGTGATACAGCCTCAGAAACCCAAGAAGGGGTCGCTAAGAGTCGGATCCAACTTGAGGGCAGTGGGTTTTTAAGGACGGTTTTATATTTCTTTCTTCAGGAAGACTTCACAAACACAACTAACTTATTCTTTTTTTTTTTTTTTTGGTTCGTTTAGGCATGCCTAAACATGTGAAAAGGAAGCAAAGGCTTCTCCTTTCCTCTTCCGTCAAAGATTTGATCATTTTGCTTCTGGTTCAGCATCTGTCATCCACGCACACATCGATTGCAGGAGAGTAGATATTTGTCTTCACTTGTCTTTCTGCTAGTCTGACAAAACAGTTTTGTTTGGATTCATCTCAAAGTAGAGGATTTGGCTGTACTGATATAATTAGCATTCTTTTTTTTTTCTTTGTAATTGAGGAGGTGGTTATATGTATATCTACTTGAAAATCAGATACACTTATATGTATAAATGCTTTTAAAAAATATGAATGGTTGTGCCAGGCCATTCCTTCTCTGCCAGCAAAGTAATACATAATAAATTGCAGTCATTTACCATACATATATATCCTTGGCTCTAATATCTGGATTCAATTTGATATGATATGTTCTGTTGCAAAGTATTTCTCTGCGTGCCAGTGGTTACTGAGAAGTGTGCAGAAACCAGTGCTTGCATGTACAGATTATCTGCATATCTTGTTGAAGTACAGATTTCAGCTTCAGGAGGTCTGAAGCATTTCTAGCAAACTTTCAGTTGATCTCTAGGCTGCTAGTCTGTGTTTAATAATAAAGTATCAAGCTGTAAGTTTCAGGGGCAGTCTTTTCGATATTATCTGCATACTTCTTGTGTAACAAATAACCTATATATTCTTACCTTGAGGAACATCTACTATGTTCCACTGCCATCAAGTCAAAGCCTATTCATAGTGACCCTTTAGGACAGAGTACAACTGCACCATAGGGTTTCCAAGGCTGTGAAGCTTCATAGAAGCAGATTGACTTATCTTTCTCCTGCAGAGTGGCTGGGTGGGTTTGAAACGCCAACCTTTTGGTTAGCAGCCAAATGTTTTAACCACTGTGCTACCAGAGCTCATTCTAAATGTCTGGCTGGGATTTTGACTTATTTTCTATATTCCTTTGACTTAAAACTTAACCAACCCATTGCTATTGGGTTGATTCCAACTCATGGTGACCCCATGTATGCCCGAATAAAAGTGTGCTACATAGGGTTTTCAATGGCTGATTTTTTTCAGAAATAGGTCATCTGGACTTTCTTCTGAGTGAACTTGAACCTCAAACTGTTCACTTAGTAGCCAAATGTATAACTGTTTGCATGACTCATGTACTCCACTTAAAACTAAGTACCTACTTAAAACTTGGTATCTACTTAGAACTTCCCACAACCATGAATGCTAATTTAAATTATGGGCAATTTGGCTATGATGATCAAGACATCTGCTTATGGTTTCAGCGTTCTCTCCTGCCAGCCATGTCTAAGATAGTCCCCTTGTCCCCTCACTGCCACAGCTCCCCAACAAATGCTTCATATATATATTTTTTAATTTTAATGTTATATAGAAGCAAGAAAAAGTAAGTAGCTAAGTTGGATATCTCAAAACTCAAAATAATTTGTTTTAAAGTTAACAGTAAAATGCAATATGACATCTATAAAAAGCATCAATAATACTAGAATAGATAATTTTATTTCTAATATTAGCTGCTCATCAGAGGGGAAATGAACATTTTATAGGCTTGAATAATGTATCTTTACTTATATGTATCATGCTTTAGATTATGAGTTTATAAAGATAGTAACTACCTGTTTTTACCAGACTGTATATAATATAATACCCAGTCACTCCTTGGAAGGAAGATGGGGGCAATCTACTTACATAGTGATACTGCCTTGGAAACCCAAGGAGGGATCGCTATGAGTCAGGTCCGACTCGACGGCACATAGCAACAACAACAACATAATATAATTCAAAGCTCCTTAGTAGCCTAAATCAATTCCTTTAAAAATAATACTTAAACAGATAGTATGGAGGAGGCAAGAACATTAATAGTAAACATGATAACTGAATGTTTATGCAGCTATATATTTCTTTCAAGGAACTCAAAACCTTCTTTAAATGTTGATTATAACATTATTTCATAGAGATGTTCTTGGTTACTCTTCACATTTCATGATGAACTTTAATGGGGTCAATTGGAAAATATTAAGAGAAAATGTACTTTTTAATGATCTTAATTAAAAACTGAACGGGCAACTCGGATGTGTTTTGTATTTTCTTTGCTGTGTATATTCTATATAGGCACATGTCTCCTTGAAAGGTAATAAAAAATACAAACCCAAATCAGTGAGCATCATTGCTATGGGGGCCCTGTTATTAGTTGCGATTGAGTCAATTTCAACTCATGGTGACCCGATGTGATCAGAGCAGAACTGCTCCATCAAGTTTTCAAGGCTGTGATCTTTCCAAAGCAGATCACCATGCCTTATATTCTAAGGCACTTCTAGGTGTGCTTGAACCTCCAATCTTTTGGCTAGTAGTTGAGCACTTAACCATCTGTGCCACACAGTGATTTCTCATAAGAGGCCTATTGTTGTTAGGTGTGGTCGATTAGGCTCCAACTCCTAGTGACCCTATGTACAACAGATTGATACACTGCCTGGTCCAGCATGTTTTCTGAAAACATGAGGCCTAGAAAACCAAACCAAACCAAACTCACTGTCATTGAGTTGATTCTGACTCATAATGACCCCTCATTGGGTTTCTAAGTCTGTAAATCTTTACAAAAGCAGACTGCCTCATCTTTCTTCTACAGAGTGGCTGGTGGGTGGACATTGACATTTTGATTAATAACCAACATGCCTTAAGCAATATATGACAAGAAGCCTAGAAGAGGTCTACTTTGCATTTTACTGAAAATGTTTGATTTGAAAAAATAATCAATATATGGATTATAAAATAACCTACAAAACAATTTGAATATTATTTGGTTATTTCTCTAAATGAAATTGAGAGAAGAGTTTCTTTAGTCAAATATGAGAACTGGATGTATGTATATTGGGTTTTTCTTTACCTTTGATTGCCAGATTAGAACCAAGCTTACAGTTTATTTATTTCACTCTTGGATATAAAATTTAATATCTAAATACTTTCTAAAATCGCTTTCAATATAGTTGTTTATGTTTTTAATTTGAAGCCACCTGAGATCATTTTCTTGATTTGTGACATTAACCATAATGGTGAATTACTTTCCATCCTGTTTTCTAAAAGTCTCTGGTACAAATGCTAGTTGCAGAGGTACACTCTCACACCACACCACTGGAAATTTCTGTCTTCCTGTCTGGTTCCTGCCCATCTGCTCACTGACATGGTAACCCTTCTGGTAGCCTCTCTGCCTTGATTGCACTTATAAACTTGGACCTTGTAACTCTTTCATCCCCAAACCAGAAAGTCTCCTTTATAGTAAATTGGCTCAATATTCTGCAAATGTATTGGAACTCTTTAACCAGTAATGAAAATGAAATAGTTAGATTATATAGAATGGTCATTTATCATCTTGGTTATAAGCAACTGAGGTTATCTGAAGATGCACTTACCATATTCTGCTGGCAAAGCCAATAAAACTGCTGGAATTTCTGGGACATAAGAAGCTGGGCACTCCCAACAGCACTCCTGATTTTACCAAGAACTGAAAAAATGAAAAAATAAGGTTTAAAACTCTGTCACGTAGAAAACAAAGCAAGAACATCATACAAAGGGAATACATTACAAAGAGGATAGCTTTACTGGTAATTAAAACTTTGCATTTATTGTGAGGAATACATTTTACTGACTGAAGTTTTCTTCAATTGGCTCCATTCTAAACTCATTGGAGCCATTTAAAGAGGATGAAATATCACAATGAATTGGAATCTCCTCAATGGCAGTGAGTTTGTTTGGTTTTTTAAATATCAATTATAAGAATATTATTCGTGGGTATTGGTAAAATTTAGTTTAGAAATATGGTATGTATTACAGGAGGTTTTCCTAATTTTGACCATCATGAGCATTTTAGTACTGATATTAAGATGAACTAGAAGAAAGTATTTGTGAATAAAAAAATTAAATGCTTCTTATTTTTTGTTAATTTCATAAAATTTTAGCTAACTCTTTAAAGATATTATTGCATTAAGTAATATGTTCCTATTAATTGATTTCTAAGTGATTTTGAGAATTGTGTGGATGGAGATCTGCCAAAGTACTGTTTCCAAAATACTGACTCTGCTTAAAGTAGACTAATTAGTAGGCATAAAGGCAGGGAAAGGGGAGAGATGTGAAAGTGTGGAGGTAAAACACACTAATATCTGATATCTCACTTGATTGAATTAAAATATTTTGTGAACTGTGGGCAATTTTACCAAAGTAACTTCTGTGATATTATTTTATATATGAAGTGATTGAATCATGTAGAAAGAGTTCTTGCAATAAGTTAATGACACAACTGATAAGAGCATTCAGCTCTCACCTTTTCCAGCTTTGTGCTTTTCCAATACCAGGCACCCTCCTTGAAACTACTGACTCTTTGGGAGCGAACAAAAGAGCCACAAGTCACCACAATACACTGACATCATGTTAGACCCACTAATTGATTAGATATATTTGTAATGACAATGTTACATTTTTAAATAGGAGTTCTAGTGGCATAGTGCTTAAGGCATTTGACTGCTAACCAGAAGGCTGGCAGTTCAAACCCACCAACCACTCCTTTGAAGGAAGGCTGGGCAATCTACTTCTGTAGTGATACTGCCTTGAACCCAAGGAGGGGTTGCTATGAGTCGGATCCGACTTGATGGCAGTGAGCTTGGTGTTTTTTGGTTTTGTATGAGTAAGCACACCACTGGTTTAATGAAGTAGGAAGTCAGTTTAATCTGTAAGTTACTCTTAAATTGTATGATTTGATTTAAATAAAAAGTAAGTAATTTAGTTTTATGAATGGAAAGGAATTTAAAAATTAAAGAAAGGTAGATGTGACCACTCCTGGATTTAGACTGGGCTTATGAAAGACCATGGAGGAAATACAGGAAAGAAAACACACCTACTATACCCAAGTACCTCTGTACTTTCACATCCCTCTCCTTTCCCTGCCCAGTTAGTCCAGTTTAACTGGAGTCAGTATTTTGGAAACTGTAGCTTTGGCAGATCTCAACTCACACAATTCTCAATTATCACTTAGGAATCTACTGAAATAGAAATTTCTATCACTATATGCTTGTTTTTATCGTGTGCTATGGAGTTGATTCTGACTCACAGAGACCCTATAGGACAGAGTGGAAATGCCCCATAGGGTTTCCTAGTTTTTAGTCTCCATGGGAGTAGATCACCAGGTCTTTTCTCCTACTGAGCTGCTGGTGGGTTTGAACCACCAACCTTTAATTTAACAGTGCAGTGTAATTGCACCACTGGGATTCCTTCACCATTATATCCGAGGCCCATATATTTCTTTCAAGTTTTATTTGACTTAGCAACAATTCAAAAGTTATTCCATAGAGTTTATAAAGCACAATACATAGATTCCCTGTACTTGGGTATGTTTGGGGGGTTGGGTTGTGGTGGTAGTGGTGGTATGAGTCTAGGCCAGGTTTTAGGGAACCAAACTACAACAGGTTGCATATAATTAATAAGGGGGTTGCAAGGATGAGGGACAGTCAGGAACTTGGTACTGGAATAATCTGCTGATGAGCAAGGGCCTTGGAACTAATGTTCTAGGACCAAAAGAGCAGAGCCATAGAGGAGAATGCAGGAGCTCCTTGCACTAGGACTGTCCTCATCTCCTTCACTCTCAGCGCTATAAAGATGCAGGTAAACTAGGCAGGAATGGTGTTGCTGTGATGCTTGTAGCCTTTAAATTTTCATTACTGCTAAGGGTTTTTCCTGATAACTAGACATCTTTCTGTATTCTGTATTGATTAAAAGGAAGTATAAAAACATATAACTTTATATATTTTGACTAGTGAATGGGATAGTAACAAGCTAGTTGATATGAGATAATCCAAGATAATGATGCCAGCTGCAGAGTAGGTTTTTTTTTGTTTGTTTGTTTGTTTTAACCAGTTGCCAGGGAGTTGATTCTGACTCATGGCAACCCCACATGTGTCAGTGTAGAACCATACTCAGAAACCAAGCACAAATAACTGTTTGCACCACCCAAGGACTCCACGTGGGGTATAGCTGATACAAATATCTCATCATGTCTCAGTTTACACCAGGATCTCATTTTGCCTGGAAACTTTTAAAGGTGAATGTCATCTTTCCTTTGAGTCTGTTCATATAACACTGTCTACTTCAAATAGCCTGAAATTGATTATTTCCATGTGCTCAATTTCTTCCCTTTTTTTGGTTCATCCTCAAAGACTATTTGTAGAGCACAGATAATTGCCCTACACCAACTACTACAGAACTCAAAACACTGCTAGTTTACATTACTAGTTCAGCCCCTTTTCCTAGGCTTCCACTTGAAGAATGCCATGGCAAGGTTATTATGAAAAATAGTTAAGGAAAAGAGGAACATGTAGCCTGGGGATCTATTCCTCAAGAAAGTAGAAGAGAGAGCTCCAACACCATTAACATAATAAATAATTATGTGCTTCAAGATATAATGTTTATGTATTCTAGGTTTTATCTAGAAAAGTATAGGTAATTAAGCTCAAAGAAACCTGGAAGATATGCATAAGAATCACCTAGGGATATTGTTAAACTGCAGATTGGATTAAGTAAGTCTAGGTGGAGCCTGGGGAGATCTGGTAGCATAGTGCCTAAGGCACTTGACTGCTAACCAGAAGGCTAGCGGTTCAAACTCACCAGCCACTCCTTGGAAGGAAGATGGGGCAATCTACTTCCATAGTGATACTGCCTTGTAAACCCAAGGAGGGGTCGCTATGAGTTGGGTCCGACTCGACGGCACATAACAACAACAACAGGTGGAGCCTGAGACTCTGCATTTCTTATAAGCTCCCAGGTGATACTTATGTTGCTGGTCCAGAATCAAAGCCTTAGAGATTATTCACAGAGGTGGAAACTGAGCTACAGAGAAGTGAAATCAAATCCTTTAGCTTTCTTTCACAAAGCCATTTCCCGAAACATTAGTAATTTTAACAAACAAAAAAACCAAACCCACTGCCATCAAGTGGATTCCAAGTCATAATGACCCCCACAGGGTTTCTAAGGCTATAAATCTTTACAGAAACAGATTGTCTTGTCTTTCTCTCATGAGCAGCTGGTGGGTTTGAACCACCAACATTTTGGTTAGCAGCCCAACACCACTAGAACTCCTTAATAATTTTAACAGCTATTCTTAAGGAAGGTTGGACAATCTACTTCCCAGTGTCACTACTTCCCAGTAGTGATACCGCCTCGGAAACCCAAGGAGGGGTCACTATGAGTCGGGTCCGACTCGACGGCACAGAACAACAACAACAATCTTAAAGCCAGTTGCTTGTGAGTCTCATTCAACGTGTATTAGAAACTGGCATCAAAGGTCCTAATATCCTGATGGTCCCAGCTATTAAGCCCGCTGCTTAATTCCTTCTCCCTACCATTACTTCAGGGAAAGAAGAATCAAAAAGGACCTTAATATCCTTATGCAGACATGCTGTGAGGGTACTGAAAATTGTTACAGAAATAAATCCATTAATATTGAAAGATATTTAAAACATGTTGTGACATAAAATAAGTCAATTACAAACATTATGTGTAGCATATCATTCATTTGTTAAAATATGTGCATGTGACACTGTATATCACACATCGTTAAGAGTAATTTTGTCTTGGGTAGGATAATGGACATAAAAAATTATTTTCCTGTGTTTGTATTTTGATTAAACTTTTTTCCTATGATTAACCTAGATCATTGTTTCCAATATTTTATTATGAAAAAATTTCAAACAGAAAATTTGAAAGGAAACTATAATAAACATTTCTGTCCCCATCACCTACATTTACCAGCTATTAATATTATATGCCTGCACTTTTTTCTCCAAAACCTTTTGAAAGTAAATTGTAGCCAGCACAACACTTCCCTTGCCTGTCTCAAGAACAAGGACATGATCCTGCTGAACCACAATGCCATTATCATTCTTAAGACATGAACAATAATTCTGTTGTTGTTGTTGTGTGCCGTCGAGCTGGACCTAACTCATAGCAACCCCTCCTTGGGTTTCCGAGGCGGTATCACTACAAAAGATTGCCCAATCTTCCTTCTGAGGAGTGGCTGGTGGATTTGAACTGCCAGCTTTCTGGTTAGCAGTCAAGTGCCTTAGGCGCTATGCTACCAGAGCTTTTAATAATTCTCTACTATCATCTAATTCTAGATTGTGTCTATGATATTAAAGAGTAAAAAAATGTAATTTTTAATATAAATGAATAAATTGGATAAAATTCTTGCATTCTTTCAGTCTCAAAAAAAGAAATAGAATGGTAGGCTATCATGCAACTTGATACACGGGCCATTGCATCTCTTACAAATCCATTTCAAGAGGTGCTTGTTTCTTTCCTCACTCCTATCCTGCCCGCTGTCTTTGATTTCAATTGCCAGCCAGCTAGGGAATGAAGAGGAGAGGCCAGGATACAGGAAGGAAATGGAAAGCAAAGGGAAATGGCATAAGATGGAGTGCTAAAAGATATTGTTCGAGTTCAGTCTTTTAAATGGGTACA